TCTTAGGACTCCCCACAGGCAAGGTTAACTGTTGAAAATGTTGAGATCATGGGAATGAAGCTGTCATAACACTATTCTTTCACTTTTTGAGTTATGGACTCACTGTGTAGACCTGGCCAGCCTGCAACTCACTATGAAGACCAAGCCAGCCTAGAACTTACCCAAATCTGACAGATTCAGTCTCTCAAGGGCTGGGATTAAATTGTTAGTGCCACTAGGTACGCCACCAAGCCACACTTTTCTTTTTTTAAGAAGCTATTTCCGCAGGATGGCAGTAGTGCTCCAGGTATGTGTACAAATGCCAGGTCCTCCCCCGCCCATCCCATTAAAAAAAAAAAATACTAATCAGAGACAAAGGCATGAGGAAACATGCCACTGCTCTATATTTGCTTTGAATGGACAAGCCCACACAGTAAATTCTTGCCTTCTGCCTAAAACCAAACTGAGGACTATTTCTTTCACCATCATTCCCAGCAAGAGTGTTGATTTCTTACAATTATATACTAGCGGTCTTTGCTTTGTCTCATATTTTTAGCAAAGCAAATCATCAACCTGTTGCTTTATGAGCAAATCTTCATGAGCCTGGCCTAAAAGAAATAATGAAATTCAGAAAAAAAAATCAATGGCAGCCATGGGCCATCTGTAAGCATCCTGACTTGAATTACTAATATTAATGACAAATTTACTTTGATTATTTTTAAAGCAACAAAGAATTTTTCACCAGGGGAGAAATAAGTCAGGCAACCCTGAATAGAGCAAAGGCAGCTGGGGATTTACAGAGAAGGAGCTAAATAAAGGGGGGTTGGGGGGAATAATGCATGGAAAATGTCTGGTCAGAATGCATGGGAGGCAGTCTTGCTAATGGGACAATAAGAAGGTTCCTCCTCTAAGCAAACTGACTAAGTGGAGTATCCAAAGATGAGTTTCAATTATAAAGAAATACACTGGGGTATAGCTGGAGGGAATACAGTTGTTGAGTAAGCAGGGAGGCCCTGGACTCCATCCCCAGCACAGCAAACCAAGCATGGTGGCACATGACTGTAACCCCACCACAAGGTAGAGACAGGAAACGAGACATTCCTGTCTCAAACAAACAAACAAACAAACAAACAAACAAACAAACAAAAACAGGGAATTTTTAAATTTAAATATGAGGCTGAGAAAAGTCGATAAAGTTTGGTCTAGGAGCTTGACACTATTAGAGGCTGTAAATGAACCCAAATCTACTTACTGGACAAGAATGAATGAAATGGAGCCCTAGAAAGCATGCTCAGATAAATCTTTCTTTCTTGGGAGCCTTGTCAATATCTCACTTTGAGCAGTGAATGTCTCAAATATGTATGAATCACAAGCAGAAGTTGCTCAAACTTGGTCTCATGATTCATCTCGTAACACAAGTGCTTCCTCATATATATTGAAATGAGTAACATTTACCGGTTAGTCCTTTACCGGTTAGTCACATCTACATGAGTAAAACAGACTGAAATCTAACACAGTGTTTTGTTGTTGTATTTGGTTGGCTGGAACACTGGACCACTTAGTCTCCCATCTACTGAAAACAAGATACAACATTTAGAAAGAACAGTACAAGGGCCACAGAAGTAGATGGGGGTTGACTAGAGAATAGGAAAAGGAGAAGAGATGATAAATCAGGGTAATGGGGATGAACACAATACAAGCATGATATGAGTGAATGAAATGTCATAGGAAACTTATTATTCAGTACAATCGATATACATATAGCTTTATTAACCTACATCTAACTTAATAGTGAGTGGGAAAATAGCAAAGAATTTCTAACACCATGAATAACAGAAAAGAATTCATTTCTTACAATTCTATTGAGTAGAGTCCTGAAGTTAACAAAAGCAGAAAATGATATAAAACCATTAGTACTATTAAAAACTTAGATGTCATGTAATTATAAATATAACAATGGATCAAACTGTGTAAGCATCAAATCAAACTATAAAACCAAACTATATTTCCATACACTGAGAAAATACAATTGTAAAAAAGTTAGCACAGCCAAGCACGGTGGTATACGCCTTTGGTCCCAGCACTCCACTGTGGAGGCAAGCACAGGTAGAGTTCAAGGAGTCTGAGACCAGCCTGTACAACAGAACCAGTTCCGGGCCAGGCGAAGAATACATAGACTCTTATCTCAAAACAAGACTGAACTAAACAAACAAAAAAACCTGGAGTATATGATATGTACAACAATACCAATAATTGTCAACAGACCAAGAGAATAAAGACAAAAGTTTAAGTTAGCACCTTAAAAATTCCTAGGAAGTACCAGGATCAACTATGGGAAGATAGTTTGATCATAAAGATATTAAAGATACAAATTTTATTTCAATTGATCTTTTTGATGCTTCTCTATTTTATCATTGCAGTTATACTTGAAAGTAAAAACTTCAAATGCATTTGTTTGATGTTAATATTAGCACTACTTCTTTCCTTGTAAAGTAGTATTTATTGGCCCCAAACCTAATCTCTAATTTTTGTAGTGAGGGAACTCAGGAATTCTGGTTTTGTGCACGCTGGGCAAGCATTGTGGTATTTATTTAAAGCTGAATTCCAGTTTTAAATTTTTATTTTGCAACAGGGTCTCACTAAGTTGCTCATGGTGGTCTTAAATTTGTGACCCTCCTATATGGAGGCAGAAAGTACAGGATTAAGAGCTTGGCTTCATTAAGTTCCTGGGCAGCCTGGACTCTGTGAAAGCTGTCTCAAAACGAACAAAAAAACAAATCCAGGGAGTTGGGGATGGAGTAACACCTTCAATTAGTCGGTTTCATATGCTGTTACATTGCTTCAGAAAAAGGTAAAACGGTAACAAAAGAGACAACAGGTTACTAAGGAGCACTGGGATCAAGGCTCCCGCAATCAAAGTCCCTCCCTATAACTTCTGGATGAGGAACTGCTGGAAAGCTGTGGGCTGTTCCTGCCTTATTAACACGGATAAAACTGTTTTCAGGTCAAAATCAAGCCATTTCTCTGAACTCCTGGACTAACTCAGACGAAAAAAGGTGGACCAGTTTAAAGTTAGGGCCGGATGGGCTTCTTTACGGAATGGACCTGCATAAACCGGAAGTCCTCAACATAATGCAATAACTGCACTATTTGATTTGAAACTACACCCTCAGGATGGCAGTAGTGCTCCAAATAGTATTCCGCTAATGACAGCAAGCCCTCTCCTCCTGCCCATTGCAACAACAACAACAAAAAAAGTCATCTTTATTTCAGGTTCCTGGAAGCATGGCTAGTAGGATCATTAGAAAAATAAAAAAAATCTTATTTGTTGTCTGTTTTTCATCTAAAACCAAATCAAACGGAGGCTGAAAATCATTATGCATATCAAGTATTAAAAAATAGTTATTGTATGTCTGGCAACTTGGCACAAACTTTTAATCCCAGCACTTGGGAGGCAGAGACAGACAAATCTCTGAGTTCCAGGCCAGCCTGGTCTCCAAAATTAGTACAGGAAGGGTTTTATTTAAAGACCCTTTCTTGAAAATTAATTAATTGACTAATAATTTTATTTCCTCCACGTACGGTATGTTACCTGTGGTCTCAGCTGATGCACAATACCCTGAACCTATGAGTTCCTGGCCAGTCTATGAAAGAAAACAAGCAAAACAACACAATAAAATAAAAACCTCACTGCAAGCTTGCACACAGCTCCACTCTTGTTCACTGAGCATCACATCTCTAGTATTTTTCCAAGTTATCAAAAAAGATCCAAACCTAAGAAGAATTTAAATTTTAAAAAGAAGAAATAAAAATGTAGGGACTCGAGATCAATAGAACCTCTAGGTAACAATCCATGTCCTTCTTTGGTCCGTCTTCAAATCTCTTAAGTAATTCCCCATTTTCTGAAAAAAAGGCATAGGTCATAGACTTTGTGTGTGGAATTGTTGGCACCTTTTTGGCCAAAACCTTAATAGGAGTGCCCCAGGAGTTTTCATCACTATATGCAACACATAGCAGGATTCCTGTGCATGGTTGTATTATATGCCAGTCAGAAGTCATGAGTTTTTTTAGGCTTTTATTAACTAAAGGTTCCTAGAAGGAAGAGTCGACAAGGCCAATAGGCTGAGCTTTAATGTTAGTTAAATTAGGTAATATCCAGTTAATATGTATTACAAGCCAGCACCATACTATCTTAGGCTATTTTCAATCCCTCTGAAAGCCATTCACTGCCTGCTGGTGTCTGACTTCATATCCTTGAGACTATCAAAACCTTAAAATGTATTCTTAGAACATCAATAGCTTCCACCAATCCAAAAGGTATCTGTTTTGAAACCTACATTAGAGATCTTCCCTTGGCTGTAACTCACATATCTGTGACACCTACCAATACAGGTGGTAAATACTTTGATATATGACTTTGCTTTATAACCAATAAAATACCATGTAACTATTTCGACTGTGGAACATTTGTGTTCCCAGGTCATGGTCACATTGGCTCCAGAATAAACTATCATCCCTTATTCCCTCTGAAGTCATACCTGTGCTTTTGCATGGATGCTTCCATTTGCCATTTGAACACAGCAGTTTGTCATGTGATTAAATAGACTTCAACTGCTTTCTATGTCTTCTTTGGTGTTTGTCTTCTACAGAAAAATACTAAAACTATGTTCTCATTAGGATATACCATAGTCCAGGTCCAAGATTCAGAAAAGAACCATGTGTTAAATAAGATGCTCCCACAAAGCCTGTTAAGACCACTGATAACCTTTTGGATTATTTCCTTTAAGGCCCTTTCAATATAGTTTAAAATTTACTTTCTCTCTTTTTTTCCCTTTTTTTTTTGTTTTTTGAGACAGGTTTTCTCTGTGTAGCTTTGGAGCCTATCCTGACACTCACTCTGGAGACCAGGCTGGCCTCGAACTCACAGAGATCCGCCCGCCTCTGCCTCCCGAGTGCTGGGATTAAAGGTGTGCGCCACCAATGCCCGGCCTAAAATTTACTTTCTCATACAACAATAAATTTGAATTAAAATTAATGTTTGTACATTACGGTGTGTAAAGAAATTGCCACTCCTTGAGCTAAGTGTGGTGATTCAGCTCAGTAATCCTAATGCCCTGAAGGCTGAGACAGGAGGACTAGCACTAGTTTGAGACCAGTCTAGACTACAAGTGTGAGCAGGCAAAAGCTACACTTAAGTGTGACCTTGCTTAAAAAACTTTTTTAAAAATGAAAAGGGTCAAGAAACAAAATAACAAAAAGTTTTCATTCCTGATTCCTAGGTAGTCTGACAAAATTACATATATAATTTGCAAATTCTCATTTTTAGTAAGTAAATCATTGTAAAAGATGCTTGTCATTTCATCTAATATTTACCCATATGTGCAACATATTACATCCATGCACAGAAATGCACATTAAGGTGAAAATTTGATTCATAGTAGGATTTACTCTGGTCTTCATGCTTCCAGATTAATGTATTTTCCCTCGATGGAAACAATTTTATGTTTATTTTTGGAAGTAAATCCTCTTCTAAATTATAAATTTGGCAATGTTTTTCTCATTTTGAGAAATTACACACCAAAAAAAAAATTGGTAAGCATCTTAATCGAAATTAGAACAACACCTTTATATATTCTGGTATTCCCCTCTCCACACACATAATGTGCTCGCTCAAATACATGCACACACACACACACACACACATTGTGGAATATTAGCTGAAGATACGTTACATTTATTTATGGTGTGGACCATTTTTTTGGGGGTGTGTGTGGAACATTTAATGATGCAAAGATGTGTTGCTTTCTTCTAGGTTGCGTTTGTTTAACTCTGTGAAGCTGTGTTACTTTGCCTGTCTAAAACACATGATTGAACTAATAAAGAGCTGAATGCCCAAATAGCTAGGCAGGAGAGGGATAGGAAGGGATGCCAAGCAGGGAAAATAAATAGAAGGGGGAAAAAAGAGAAGAGGTAGTAGTGAAAACAGGAGAAGAAGACATCAGGGACAAGCCACCCAGCTACACATGGAATAAGAAAGAAAGGAATATAAAAAAAAAGAAAGATGAAAGTCTAGAGGCTAAAGGTAGATAGGCTAATTTAAGAAAAGCTGTCTAGAAATAAGCCAAGCTAAGGCTGGGAAAGAATAAGTCTCCGTGTATTTATTTGAAAGGGTGGCAGGCCCCCCAAAGAGTAAAGACTAACATGCACGCATGATGGCTTTTAACTTAAACCCTAGTTACTTTGTACTTGAATTGTTCAGATAGATTTCCCCATCACTTATTGCAGCTTATTACAGTTTGAAGTCTTACAAGCATGCTAACTATTCTTTCTTTTTTCCCTTAAGTCTCACTGTTGTAGCCTAGACTGACCTTGAACTCAAAAAGATCCATCCACCTGCCTATGACTCCTGAGTGTTGGGATTAAAGTCAATACCACTGTACCTAGTCCTGGAATATGTATTTTTAACCTTCTTAACCTGTGGTTTTAGAATTAAATATTTCTTCAAATTACACACTAGTCATGGATAAAAAGTACAGAGGTTACCAGCACCACAAATTCAAGCAAACAGGGGATTTGTAGTGTTTGTCTTTAGTTCTCCTGTGTTCTGTGATTAATTAGATATAAATATATTAAATCACAAATGGCCAACAAATGACATTTCATGAGCAATTATTTCTGTACCTATCTGTTCTCAATTGATTCTCAATTCTTAGAATCTCGGGACTTCACAACTTATCTAATACAAGTGGACTCGATTCACCCCAAATTCAGTTTTCCAGAAAGACTATTAAGAAGTGATGTAGCAATCTTTAAGTTTTTCATCTGTTTATTTATTTAGATGCATCACTGTAGATGGAACCTTGTGCATGCTAGGTAAGTGCTCTAGCACTGAGCTGTATTCCTAGCCCCAGGTTAAATATTATAAAAGTGATGCGAAACTCTTTAAGAGGATCGGTGTCATTTAATTAAATTGATTTAATCTCATTATTTAAACAACCCACATTCTTTTGGTGAGAGACAGAGTCTCAGCCAAAGCTGTCTTCAAGTCTGCTATGTAGCTGACACTGGTCATGAAATCTTGATGTGCCTCAAATGCTATGTTATTCCTGCATGACGTAGGACAGTCCTAAAAACATACACAAAACACTTCTTTTTCTTTTTTTATTACACTATACATGAAGTGTGGTGCATGAATCCTTAACTCAACACAGGACAGTCAGCATTAACTACTGACAGGAAACATGACTTTTTTGGGGTAGATAAAGTTCCTAACATTTTCCTTTTTAAAAATATCTTTATTTGCTTTTATTGTAGGAATGGTATGTTTGCATGCTCCCCACCTGTGTGCCTTGTCCTCACGGAGGTTAGAAGAGGGCATCAGATTCCCTGGTACTAAACTTATGGGAGGCTGTGAGCTACAATCTGAGTGCTGGAAATTGAACCCAGATCCTCTACAAGAACAGCTAGTGCTTTTGTTTTGTTTTGGTTTTTGGGTTTTTTTTAGACAGGATTTCTCTGTGTAGCTTTGGGGCGTGTCCTGGAACTCGTTTATAGACCAAGCTGGCCTTGAACTCACAGAGATCCACCTGCCTCTCCTTTCCAAGTGCTGGGGCTAAAGTTGTGCACCACCACTTTCTAGTCCCGTCATAGTATTACCTTGTTGCTCTTCCAGAGGACCTGGGTTCTATTCCCACCACCCACATGGTAGCTCACAACAACTATAACTCCAGTTCCAGGGGATTTAATGCCCTCTTCTGGCCTCTGTGAGCACCATTCATGTGTGTGGTGCAAAGACACTCATGCAGACAAAATACCCATTCATAGAAAAAAATAAATAACGTGTGTTTTTAAGGACCTTTAAGGCAAATAAACAGCTGATAGTCACACAATTAGTTGTTTGGTTTGAAGGTTCCCAGACACTTCGTCTGCACCTACTCACCTTCTGAATTCATGCATCTGTGGTCAATTTGACAGAAACATGTATGTCATAAAGACAACTGGTTGTTCTTGTATTCCCTAACCAAAATAGCTTCATCCTAAAGTTCCAATGACAACAACAAAGAAAAACTAAAATTCCAACAATTTGCTTTTTCATTCCTAAAACAAAGACACACATGTCTCCCCTGAAGAGGACTTAGAGAATGCTTTCCAATTGTTCCAAAGGCTTAAGAAGGCTATCGTGCACTGGGCTGGGCATAGTGGTGCATGTCTTTAATCCCAGCACTTGGGAAGCAGATGGATGGATCTCTGTGAGTTCAAGGTCAGCTTGGTCTACAGTGGGAGTTCCAGGACAGCCAGGGCTTTTACACAGAGAAACCCTGTGTTGAAAAACAAAGAAAAAGACTACTGTGCATATGGAACCTGGAAAATGAGCCCCCTTTCCCTACACCACCACTACTCCCCGTATTTTTCTATGGAGTGCGACTACATGACCACTTTCAAAAGGCAGTCTTTGGGCAAAGGGATGCCTATGAGAAAGGTTAATGATGTAACCACTGGCACTGGAAGTGGTGAATCAATGAACAGCATTGATTTTCTGGGTAGAGTTTATAAAGTTGTATAAATCTCCACACAATGACCCCACTTTCATCTTCTCGCTCACTTATTGCATGGGGGGCATTACAGGAGTACTTGTCGAACTGTAGCTTACTTTAGCACAGATGAGTTTAAGACTATCTGTTAAGGGGGACTGGAGATGGCTCAGTAGTTAAGAGCACTGGCTGCTCTTCCAGAGGACCCAGATTCAATTCCTAGCAACCACATGGCCGCTCATAACTGTCTGTAACTCCAGTTCCAGGGGACCTGACACCCTCAGACATACATGCAGGCTAAACACCAATGCAAACAAAATGAAAAGAAAAAGAAAACTGGGGCTGGAGAGATGGCTCAGAGGTTAAGAGCACTGGCTGCTCTTCCAGGACCTGAGTTCAATTCCCAGCAACCATATAATGGCTCACAATCATCTATAATGAGATCTAGTGCCCTTTCTGGTGTGTAGGGATACATGTAGACAGAACATTGTATACATGATAAATCAGTAAATCTTAAAAAAAAGAAAAAGAAAACTCTCTGTTAAGGAAAAGATAGCGGTCCATTATGCTTTTCCTGCAATGTTTGCTTTCCTTTGACCCTTTACTTTTGTACTGACATAAATAAAATGGTTGACGAGTAGTCTCAGCTACAGCTGCAATCTCCTGTTATTGGTTACACTACCATATTTGAATTCCTGGGACCCAGGAAGGTACTATTGCTTCCATTCACCCTCTGGTTAGATGTAGTCTCTTAATGTAAACTAAACATATGTAAATACAAAATTGTTTTTGTTTTGCTTTGATGTTTGGTTTTTCAAGACAGGGTTTCTCTGTGTACCCCTGGCTGTACTGGCACTCGCTCTGCAGACCAGGCTGGCCTCAAGAACTCAAGAGATCTGCCTGCCTCTGCCTCCCGAGTGCTGGGATTAAAGGTGTATGCCACCAACACCCGGCAAATACAAAGTTCTCACAGCTGAAGATTTCTAGGCCTTCAGGCTACCTTACCTGTGGTCCACACGTCTAACTTCAGAAACAGTACACCATCTTTACACATACATGTAGCCTCTCAGTCTAGCATGTGGGGAAACTATGACTTCAGTGCACACAGCTTAACCTAGCTGGCACAGCATTTCTCACGACTACCTGCGGAACTGCAATGGGTTGAAAAAGACATGGGTCACTTTATTACTTTCATGCATTACTCAAGACCATGGAAACATGCTGTTTCATCAAATGTCTCCACTCATTCTGTGGCTTACCTTAATCAGGAGCAGCCTCAAGGACAGCCAGGCCCATCACCAATTTCCTCAGTAACTTCTTTGTCCTTGTAGACACGGATGAAGGAGCTGAGTAGCAGAGGTGAAACACCCTGGGTAAAGAGTGTTCAAGTGGTGAGCAAACATTGCAGCAGTATACCAGAATAAAATTCCTTCCTCCCTTGTAAGTGATTAACTGCCAACACTATCATTGATACAGAGAGGGAAGTTCATGTATAGTGAACCCTATGAAACATTTGTATGTCTTGCTAGGCTGTGACCAAGTGACCCAGGGTTCCCGGTATGCTTAAAATTCCCATAGGAGGGAATCTTGGTAGACCTATAACCAATTTTCATCAGAAAAATGCTAAGAAGCAGCAGGCAGTTGAATACCTGCTAACATGAATCAACAGTTAGGTCCCCAGTATCACGAGTTTCATTTTTATTACCAGAATAACAACAGGTTTATATAAGCAAAGTCTCCCTCCTTATGAAAACAGAGGACAAGCAAGTCCCTCCAGAGTTCCTCAGCCTGTGGGCTGAGACTACCTTGGGGTTGAACAACCCTTCCATGGGGGTTGCCTAAAACCATCGGAAAATAGATTACGATTTATTAACAGTAGCAAAATCACAGTCATGAAGTAGCAAGGAAATCATTTTATGATTGGGGGGTCACCTACTCCTGCCTACACCTTCCACTAGGCCCTGGGGAAAAGCTGCAATAGCCACTGTAGCTGTTTCCTCTTGAGCCTAGAAAAGACTTGTTTTGTTTTAATACAATGTTTCTATTACTTATTTGAGAGTTTTCATGCAATGTATTTTCATCACATTCATATCCCTTTCCTCCCCTTAACTCCTTAGATTCAGCCCTTACCTCCTTCTCAAATTCCTGTCTGCTTTAGTAATCATTTTCTTCCAGCCAATCACAGTTTCTCCTCCTCTCAGTCCCTCCCCCCAGCCTCCCTTCTCCCAGCCCCAGCCACCCCTCCTTTTGTTTCAGAAAAGGGCAGGCCCCCATGTATATTAGCCATAGAGAAGACTTTTGAACCTTCTGATTGTGTAAATCCCTGTTGATGGAATTAACTGGTGTGGCACCATGGCACACACTTTGCTTTCGGCTCTCCTTGCTCTTGACAATGGATTATCAATTCTGAGTGTCTTTTGAGATTTGGGAAAGCACGCCAGCTACCTCACAGAGGACACCTTGTACCAGCTCAGCGCCTTATTAGTAATGGAGCCAGAGGACAAATGCGCACAGCCTCCCCTAAAAGACCCGAGTGCTTTGCTTCTGCCCTGATTTTACTGGCTAGGAGCCACACGACTAACTTCCTGTAAGTGACCTAGCTGGTAGTTGTCCTCAGTTCCGCAAGCACCCATCAGCCCCCATTAGTGCCTTGCCTTGGATCCCATCAAATTCTTACTATGAAACTGAAGGAGGTCTGCTGAGGGCCCCCCCCATTAGTTTCTTCTGTTGGATCCCATCAAACTCCTACTCTGAAATTGAAGGAGGTCTACTCAGGGCCCCCCATTAGTGTCTTCCCTTGGATCCCATCAAACTCCTGCTCTGAAATTGAAAGATGTCTTCTCAGGGCCCAAGCCCAGTTAACTTTACCAAAGAGCCAACCTTTCTTAACTACCAAACTTACTGGCGATCTCACTCACACCACAAGGAATTGGCAAACAACTTCCTCGGAGTAGTAATATTGTTCTGGAAAACCTGCCTAGCCCTGCCACTTCCACTCCCATTCACTGGCTGAAAAACAAACCTGTTTGAGGAAGGATCCAGGGAAGAAAGCTGCCTCTCCATCTGCTCTGATGAGGGACACCACAAACGCCTGTAGCACCCAGTTTCTTAGCTATTTCTAAACTTCCATTTCCACTCTTCCAAAAGTTGACAGATCTGCCCCTCCATTCAGTCAAGGGTCCCTACTCTCACCCAATTCATTTGCTTCAGTGAGGAATCCCTCAGAGATGCAAGGCTAACAAAACAAAGAGGACTCTGGAATTTAGCTCCCAGAGAAATGCAAATTTAGGCACCATGTCAGGTGACTTAGGTCTCAGGATCAGATTCCCAAAGAATCCTCCATTTTCTCACCAGGGTCTTTGGCCTTTTGTGTTCAGCAGGAAGCAATGTGGCTGGAACTCTGAATGGAGCATCAAGGGAACTCCACATGCCAATTCCACAGTATTATGTCTCTTCTGGAGTGACGTTATAAATTCCAGCCAAAAGGGACATGAGTTTGTCTCACAGGTTCATTTGATGGTGGAACACAACCCCATTTCCTTCACACATGAACCATTAATACTTCCTATGACTTTCTTATGTATTCATTAAGGCTTAGGGGTAGTCTTACAGTGTTTTCTCCTAAGATACAGTACTTGCAAAGAATTTAGAAAGTTGCCATATCTTGATCAGGAATGAAAGCTCTTGAATTAAACACTGATAATTCTTGACAAATTTACTCCCAATATTTTCAGTACACATATACAATTATGTATGTATGGTCAAGAAACTGCAACAAATTTATAACAAAATTGAATTTTCACACACATCACATTTTAAATTTCAAACCTGCATTTCTGATTTCTGGGTAGATTAAAATATCCTGTAATAGTTGAAAGGCATAGATTTTAGATAAATAAAAGACTTCCAAAGTGTTTCTTCATTGACCTTGTTCATTAAAGAATATGAGTTTCTCCCTTAACATTAAAAAATCTATATAGCACATAAAATAACTATACTATTACCACTCAAAGAATTTATTAGCCAAGCCATCCTTACCTAACCTGCCATGTGATAATAAGACAGGTACTACACATTAAAAGTTAAGAAACATAGGGACTCTAGTCAAATTTTCATCTAAAAAATGTCTTTAAACACTGGGAAATAAACAGAAAACAAACAATCAAAGGTTGACATTGGCATTTCTCTTGAAAGTTGCAAATAGTAGATTTCAAGCATTTTCACCACATATGGGAAACAGGAACTTGTGGTATTCAGCTTGATTGTGCTTGTTTCAGAAAAACCTGAATAAACCCAATTTTCATGTGTTAATTATATATCATATTTCAATAAGGACAGAAAAAAGTAATCAGTTTGGAAACTAGTCACCACCCAGAATTCAGTAGTTGTTTTCATCTTAAAGGCAGGTTTCTTTTTTAAAACAAAAGGAACAGGTATTCCCAAAATTCAGTAACACGTACGTATACTCTAAAAAAACTGGCCAGCAGATGCATTCACAACCTTTATATGTGGCTATAATCTTTCAGCTACGTCTTTGTACAAATACAATATTTATATGAATAGCCAACAGTGGCTGGGATGCTCAAGTTGAATAGCCAGTTTAACACTGACCAAGGTTGAAAATATAACCCTTTAAACAATATCTACAATGATATGGTTGTATATAAACATGTACTCAATGCGTGCTTCTTCTTAAACATAACCGGATGCATACCATTTGCCCCCTTGCAAATCACTGTAGACTTGTAAGTGCTTGAATGTAGTGTTACTATTCGTCTTTTACCCCAGTAACCCTTTCTATGTCAGGAAATGGCAAAAGTTTACTAGCTGCTGGCAAAGTGTTCCGATTTTGAGGAATTACAAACGGTACCTTAATGACAAAAGCAACTAAAACAGTCTTGCCACATTCTCATAGCTCCACTTTACATGTGGAAATACTTGTTTAAATTGGGAAATTCTCTTGTACTTTGGGCATTAAACCATTAGAGTTCCTCATTTGTAGCTTTACTGCTTTTAAAAATATTAGTAATTTTTAGAATATTGCTGCTTTAAAAAAATTCTCCCCGCTTTTGTATTTTCTAGAAACAATGCCGTCTCTGACTTAACATAGCATATACAACTGTCGTGTTTGGAAAAACCGAAGCAAAGTTACACCACCTCTATCAGATGACCTTTAGGCTGCTTCGCCTTCAGTCCTCTGGCCTTGGTGTCCGTCCTCTGATCTCTGTCCATTTGGCGTGGTCGGCCTCCTAGAAGTCCGGACTTTCTTGGCTTGCCCCGGTTCTTTCACTCCTCTTCAAGTCTCTAAAACAAAGTGGATGCACCTTTCAGCAAGCACATAAAATTCTCTTCCCAGCTACCTGGAATTGTCCCACGTGTCGGTCTTCTCGGTGACCCAAGGGGGAAGGGAGGAAAGGAAGAGCCAGGAGCCGGGCCTGTCCGCAGGTAGCCTCCCTAGTCCCGCCTACTTTCGGGAGAGCCTCGCCCTGCTTCCCAG